AGGATGATGAAATTACACAACTTCCCTCTGAGGTACTTATTTGACCAGTGGATATTAACATATTTACAAATTTACCACGGCAGGTTTGACCATTGTTACTCAACTTTGACTTCATCGTGTCCATTGATTTGATTGATAAAATAGTTCTAGAATTATTCTTATTTCTTTCACCATCCGTCTTTCTCATATGATCTCTTCTATCTTTATATATACTAGTTGTCTACCAGTCTTACTTTGCTTCTGGTCACATTACCATACTCATCTGTTTTATTCTTGAAGATCCACTTTGTTATGATAACATTTTCAGATGTGTGCTTAGGTGAACAAATACTGCCCAACAAAGACAAGCACCTACTTTGGCCATAAATTGCACTGCTATAAAGAAGTTTTCATTGTACATGCTAATAATCTCTACAGCGTGGTCCTAAAGCAAAAGTAAAACCCCACTTGTACCAATGTGCTCTACTAAGAGGTGTCTATCTTCAATACCCATTTTCTTGCAAATTGTTTTTGTGAAGCTTTTGATTTTTTAATTTTTGAGAGGAAAGTAAAAATTGGATGGTGGATCCTTGTGGAATTCTTGATCTGAGGAACTTTAGAGGGCCCACCCAGACATCTACAGTTCCACACTAGAGCCTTCATTGGTGATTTCGCGACCACCCAATGCTGGTCCTCTCCACCTATCCAGATTGAAGCTTGGCTCTCTTATCCTCCTTGTAAGAATGGGTTGCTCCTTCTGCAAGTACAATAAAGCCCCCCTCTTGGTCTCTACCTCTTTTGATTGATAGAGCCTTCCCTCCCGAAACACTAACCCGAGAACACCTTTGTAATATCCCTTCATTTTTTAGTGATCTTTTCAAGGCTTTTTGTCTGCCATTGGTTGGGCATCCTGATGTTGTTTGGCTTCTATAGTAGGAGAAGATATAAAAACTTTTTTAGCCTTCTACTTCACTTCCATCTTGTCATCTCTGTATATCAGTGTACTCACTAGGTCACTTTCAGGTGAGAGGTGATGTGTATTATAAATCACCAGATTTTTTTTCACTATTCTCAATAGAATAAACCAAAACCTGCTTAGAGGAGTTGGATTCCACTTGATTGAGATATTGTTCCTTTTGCTGCTCTTGGCTTAAATTCCATTCCAATGGACTAGTTTTCTGTATAGAAAAACCTCTAATCATGTCCTCATTCTCAGCAACAACAGTATGATTATTACTAGTTGTTGAAGGTGAATTTCTAGCTTGGCCAGAAAAGGAGCTCGATTGATTCCAACTATTTCCCTGTACTCCTTATGAACCTCTCAAACACTCACCAAAATGACCTTCTTCCATATCATTCTTAGTTATATCATCCATTCTAAGAGAACATGCTATCTCTGTATGCCCAACCTTCCCAAAGTAAAAGCACAAATTTATTATCCTCTCGTATTTAAAGGTCACAGTACCAACTGGTCCCCTAATCTGTTAGAAGCACATCAAGGTAAAGCTTCCTTAATATTAATCATCACCAATAATTTGATAAATCTAACTCCCTGACTCCCAAAATTGCACATCAGAACATTTGACAACTTTTTGAACACTTTGCCAATTTTGAGTCCTAATTCCAAAGTTAACCAATTCAAAGGGACATGATGAACTTGCACCCAAAATCGTAGCTCATCAAGGCACTCATGAGTGACCCTCAACCCTCCTTCCAATTTTGTAATATCAGGAACTGGTTATTGGAGATCCAGATTATGCCCCCCAGCCACTTTTTTCAAATCCTCTATTTTATCAAAAATAAATAGAAGGTAATTCGACCCTATATCTATTACATCTACCAAACTCTGAATCCTTCAAAGTTGGCCCATAGCTTTCTTGATCCCCACAAGGCTCTCCCTTTTGTCCCCAATAATTTCCCAAAGAGACTTTTCTGACATTCTTCCTGGTTGGCTCAAACATCCTCCACCCCAATGTCAATAACTAGATTCTCCACTGTTGAACGAGAAAATGCCCTCAACCATCGCTCTACATCATCTACTGAGACATGAGAATTAGTGCCCTCCTTGGAAAAGCCCTAAAATGAAAAATTGAACTCTAGTGAAAACAGATGCCTGCGAAAAAATATGAGGATAAAAAACACACTGAAATGCCGCAAATGCCCTCCTAAAGAAGGAAATAGACTCTTCTATAAGAGAATAAGCTCTCCAATGAAACAACGGGAAGCTCCCCAATAAGAAAATGGGAAGCTCACCATAAGCTAAAGTTGGCCATAAAAGTAATTTATTAATTTTGCAAAGTAAACTATGAAATAAAATTTTATTACCATTAGTTCGAAATGCCTAATAAATCATTGCATTTTATCCCCCACAAATGGTCCCAAAATAAAAATCGAAAATGGTATTGAAATACATCTCATCAACTAATTTCTCTTCCGGCCTGAAATCAAAATTAATCATTGCATTTTGTTACCAAATGTGTCTTCACCTTAACTCTTTGGTGTGTTTATTTATTAAAAAACTCAATTCATACCCAAAATTCAACTCAACTTAACTCAAATTTACCATCCCCAGTATTATCAATATAACTGAATAATATCAATCATTCATTCATTCAACTCACATCAACTTTAATTCAATATTCATCTATTTACATAATTTTCACTAGCATCACTTAACATCATATATCTCCTACTTTTACATCAAATCAACTTTAGTTATATTACTTTAAATATTATTTTAATATAAACTCAAAATTCCACTAACAACTAACCATACTGCCTTTTTTTAAAATTAACTATGGATAACAAAAACAGTTCCTTCTAGCCTCTCCACTTTCTTGGAACTCGGGACTGACCTTCAAATAGCATGCTGATTTCTTTCCGGTTGAGTGACTTCCCTTCGAAAAGTTTGAAAATCCGTTTTGAGCGGATATATTTGTATTCAAGCATGCCCAAATCTTTCTCCCTTTAATAACACACAGAGGAATGAGACAAACCCAACTAGTAAAACGCCATTGGAACATAGGATTTGAATTTCTTTTTGGGGAGGATGGGTGCAATGTGGTGCCCTTGTGAATCAGAGGTAAAAAAAATCTTGATCCCTTATAAAAATGGCGTTTTCAGTGAAAAATTTGTTGGTTTTATAATAGGCTATGATGAGCGACTGTGATTTTGGGAGTTATTTGGCTACCTGTGGGTCTACCCGAGCTCCATTCTTATCCATCAAATCATCTACCCTTTTTATTTGTCCATACACGTGTCCCTTGTTAACAGCCTGGTACTGTGTTGACCAATTTGTTCCATAACCGAGCTATTATTTATCCGCTAGCTATCTGGCTTTCTGACATCTCATTGTCAAAGGTCCGAGCTATTCGCCTATTATTATATCCGAGCATTCATATGTCCAAGCTATAGACACGTCCTCATTCCATGTGTCCGAGTTGTACTATGTCCGAGCTACAGACACATCTGATAGGTCCGAGCTCCTTTAGTCCATGATGCCTCAGTCATATATCTGAGTTGTACTATGTCTGAGCTGCAGGCACGTCCTCAGTCACGTGTCCGAGCTCTACATACATGTCTAATAAGTCCAAACTACCAAAGTGTGAATAGCGTACTGTTCGACCTGTCTGAGAGCCCTTAACTCGGGCTAACTTTGGCCGGCTCATCCGAGCTATATTATGTGATATATCCCATATTATGTGATATATTATGTGATATACATGTAAATTAAGTTTTAAGCTATTATATACCATCAAATAAAAGTAAAAGATAAATAGTAAATTATTTTAGATTTTATTTTTAAATTACTACAAATACGCGTATGATTTAATTTATCCATTTAATTATTTATGTCTCGCAAAATATTATTTTGCATAAGTTGAATCATGGCCATAAATGTAATTTATTAGTTCTGCAAAATAAAATATTAAATAAAATTAAACTACCATTAGTTT